GAAGCCTCAGGGCAATTCAGTTTTAAAAGTTCTTGTAGCTTTTTACATCTGCATCTTCAGCTAAAGTCAATTTAGGGAATCACTTTGGTGATGTTCATTTTCCACACAGCCTGATGCCATCTCTCTTACCCCCAAACCCACCCACACCTTTTACCTTCCTTTTTATTTTTCCTCCATTTAGTAAGCAAAATGAGGAGTGAGCGGATTACATTGTATATCCTGTATGAAATGCCATAATGGTCTTTTTCCAATCAGAAGGGAGTTTGCCGAGCTTTACTGATACACTATAAGTTTATCTTTCACTCTCTTGATCAGGAGCCTAGTTGGGTGTTGTATGACATAAAATTTATTTTTAACTGTTGCCATAGTAACCATTACACACAGAGGAAAAAGCTGAGAAGTATAGAACCAAGGTGATATGAGTAGAATATCGGAAATTAGATTTTGATAGATTTCAACTAAGATTTAAAATAGAATGGATTTAATAGCTAGAGTTCTTAACCCAGGGACCAAGAACTCCTAGAGGGACCTAGGAGTGGCCTTGAGAAATGTGTTTTAAAAAGTCAAATAAAAATCACAAATGCTGATTAAAAACCAGCTCTTCCCTACCTCATCCTACCATAATACTAATTTTATACTTCAATATGAAATTTCTTTTATTTTTTCGCCAGATAGTTGTATTTCTATATTTCAAAGTAATAAGCTTATACTACGTTTCTGGATTTTTCTATTTTGGACATTATGTGTGTTAGTTGCTCAGTCGTGTCTGACTCTTTGCAACTGTATGGACTGTAGCCTGCCAGGCTCCTCTGTCCATGGAATGCTCCAGGCAAGAATACTGATGGTGTTAGTCACTCAATTGTGTCCGACTCTTTGTGATCCCACAGCCTGTAGCCCACCAGCCTCCTCTGTCTGTGGAATTCTTCTGGCAAGAAAAACGGAGTGGGTAGCCATTTCCTTCTCCAAGACATTGTATATGAGGTTCCAGTTATGGTTCCCCCCTTCACTCCCCCCCCCATCTCCCCTCATCTTCTCCTCTCATCCTTTCTGTATAGTTGTATCCTAGTTTTTGGTTAAATAACTGGTGCTTATTTTATTCAGTTCAGTTCAGTCACTCAGTCGTGTCCGACTCTTCGCAACCCCATGAACTGCAGCACGCCAAGCCTCCCTGTCCATCCACCAACTCCCGGAGTCTATCCAAACTCATGTCCATTGAGTTGGTGATGACATCCAGCCATCTCATCCTCTGTCGTTCCTTCTCCTCCCGCCCTCAGTCTTTCCTAGCATCAGGGTCTTTTCAAATGAGTCAGTTCTTTGCATCAGGTGGCCAAAGTATTGGAGTTTCAGCTTCAACATCAGTCCTTCCAATGAACACCCAGGACTGATCTTCTTTAGAATGGACTGCTTGGATCTCCTTGCAGTCCAAGGGACTCTCAAGAGTCTTCTCCAACACCGCAGTTCAAAAGCATCAATTCTTCAGCACTCAGCTTTCTTCATAGTCCAACTCTCATATCCATACATGACCACTGGAAAAACCGTAGCCTTGACTAGACGGACCTTTGTTGACAAAGTAATGTCTCTACTTTTTAATATGCTGTCTAGGTTGGCTTCCAAGGAGTAAGCATCTTTTAATTTCATGGCTGCAAACACCATCTGCAGTGATTTTGGAGCCCAGAAAAATAAAGTCAGCCACTGTTTCCATTGTTTCCCCGTCTATTTGCCATGAAGTGATGGGACTGGATGCCATGATCTTAGCTTATTTTATTATAATGACAGAAATGTTTACACATAAGCCATCCAGAATACTGTTTTTGTTTGTGCAATATTTTTGTTGTTTTTCTTGGAGTTAATGACTGGAGAATCCCCTTGTGTTTGTTCTGCATCAGTTTCCCCCTTTGCTGGATCCTGTGTATGTTCTCTTGTTTTCCTCTTGTATTGATGGAGTGTGTTCTTCAGTAGTTTGGTGAGATATAGCACAAATGAGGTCTATTTTTTTGAGAGCTTGCGTGTCTGAAAGTGTCTTCATTTTTTTCTTCACACTTGATTGAAAGTTTTTCTGGGAAATAATTCTTAGGATTTTGAAGAAATACTATTCGTTTGTCTTGTAGCTTTTAGTGGTACTATTGAGATGTGTTCTGATTCACAATCCTTTGTGTGGGTTTTTTTCTTCTTCCTTTGAAAGCTTTTAGAATGGTCTATATCTCTGTGTTCTTACAAGTCGGGATAAGGTGCCCTGGCTTTGGCCTTTTTTCACCCCATTGTCTTGAACACTTGGTGTGCCTTTTCAGTTGGAGAATTCATATCTTTTCCTCTGGAACGGTTAATCTTATTTTTTTCCCCTCCACTCTCATTTTTTTTCCCCTGGTATCCTTCTTTGGATCAATCACCCCATTTTCTTTTCTCACCTGTTTTCCTTTCTTTGTTTTTCTGTGTCTTACCCTTTGGAGATTCAAGAGTCTCTTTTAACCTTTATTGGATTTTTTTTTTTTTTTTGCTATCATAATTTCCAAGAGCTGGTTTTCATTCTCTGAATTTATTTTTTGTAGCATCCTATTCTTGTTTCACTGATGTAATATCTTTTCCCCCAAGGGATACTCATCATAGATTTCAAAAATTTCTTTTTCCTCCCTTAGTTTCTGTTTCCCTACTCCACTCAGCACCTTTTTCTTTTACCTGTCTGTCCATATTACAGGCTTTCCTTGACTGTATCGTGATCCTTGGCTGACTGCATGGGTGGGGGAGGAAGGTGCACAACAAAGCTTGGAGCATGTGGTGGGACTCGTCTTGTGATGGTTGGGTAGGTACCCAACAGTTTCCTTGGTCAAGCTTCAGATGTCACCGTTGATCGTTCTTTTCAACTGGTTGTTTTTCTCAGGGGAGAGCCATATGTTTCCCATATCGGGGCTCAAGAGTCAAGCTGAGTTTTACTGGAGCCAACCCAGCAAGGACGTTGAGGGTCAAAAGAGGGCTGAGGACCTTACTTGTTGGTGGGTCCGCTTTGACCTCATCTTCCTGTTTCCTGCCCACTGCCTGCCTCCCTCCTCTCAGCTGGCTGACATTTCCTGGTCCAGATTCCTTCTAGTTCAGTTTCTTCAGATTGTAAACCTATTTGGCCAGGGTTGAGGGGAGGGAATTACATGCCTGTGTGGTTTGATGAAGATGGTTGAGGACTCAAAATACTTTCCACTCTGTACCTTTTTTTTTTTGATAAATTGCTATCTATGGGTCTGCTGGCTAAGTTTTTTGGCTGCACTATGTAGCATGTAGGATTTTAGTTCCCCAACCAAAGATCAAACCCACAACCCCTGCACTGGGAGCATGGAGTCTCCATCAGTGAACCACAAGGGAAGTCCCTCCACCCTGAATTCTTGCCTTTAGTATCTTGGTGCTTCCTTTTCAGTCTTAACTAACCCCACTTGATGCTGTCCATTTTCTTCAGTTTCCAAGGATTTCTTGCCATCCTTGCTGTTCCCTTCTCTCTGTTTTCTCTTTTCTTAGTGTTTTATGCTAAAAAGGAGTTATTTCACTATCTCTTTGGGATTGCAGGAAGGATTAGGGGTCATTAGAATCTTCTTCGCCGGATTGTTAAAGGGGTCTATCACTCCCTCAAAAGCTAAGTCATTCTACTATGCTTCATTCTACTATGCTTATCAGGAGAGAGTACAGAGTGCCCTTACAGAGTGCTCTTTTTACATTGGAGAGTTTGATAAAAGTATGATTTAAAAAAGGATAAAAGTTGTCCTTAAGTTGTAGGGTTGGATTAGATGCTGTCTCAAGATACCTTCTCATTTTAGCATTCAGTCATCCTGTTTTCCATGTTTTTTGGAAAGATGTTAAAATTTAGTTTTATAATCATCAAAAAAAAAAAAATAGCATCCTTGAGTCTGTGTGCCACAACACTAAATATTGTCAAAGACGACAGATACTTTAATTGTTACAAACATGGTAGACTTTCTCGAGTGATGGGAATGTCCTATACATTAATGAACGTTTGAATTATGCAGGTGTGTATACATTTGCTAAAACTCTTCAAGTGATATCCCTTCATGTATACATTTTACCTCATACACAAAATTAAAATTATAAACAAATATGAAATTCTAACTTAAGTAAAGACACATGTAAAGGAATGTATATATATATAAATGTATATAAATGTATATAAAAGTATATATATAATATATATAAAAGTAGTTCTGTAAATTGTGAAAGCTCATGATTTTTACTGTATCATGCTATAAAAATAAAAATTTTTAAATTAGGGTAGGAAGTGGAAATGCACTTATCCTGAACCTTGTGACTACCCCTCCCTGTTTCTCTTCTCCTTTGTTATCAGGCTTTGCTTATCGATGCCGGCGCCAAACTGTGCAGATCTATGAGAATGCTGGCAATTGTCTTATTTAATATCTAAAAATCAGAATACATGGCAAAAAATTCTTGGCATGTTTTAATTCTCTTTATTTCATGATTGCCTCTGGATGTGTCTGCTCTCCTGGAAGCTGACTTTACTTTCATTTTAGTCAGTTGAGATGAACATCCAGTTCCTTGGTTATAAAATTCAGCTAAAGTTTTAGACCTCGAAGGATGAGCCAAGTGATTCATCAGCTGAATAGGAACTATGCCAGGAAGAATGGAGAAGGATTGATAGCGTGGTCTCTCAAATTAGTCACTCCCTTCTAGACATACTAACTTAGGTGTGGAACTTCCTATTTTCAGAGTGCTTTGTAGCCTGAGTAATTTTTTTCTAAATTACTCAGAGGTAGGTTAGGAGTAATTCTCTCATCTCACAGGAAAGAGAATACAGAGAAGTGGAGACCTAAGCAAGTGAGTCTGTGTCTTAACCAGGATTAGAATTCTGCGTATAGATTAGCCTCAGGAGAATGGGTGGCAGTGAGAACTAGAGACTGTTACAGCGGTAATGGTGAAGAATATAAACCACGTTGTAGGTTTAGTCTGGCAAGACTTTGGACTGACCCAAGATGGAAACTGTTCTGTTGCAGGTAAAAGAGAATCTGCTTTCATGCAAGATGCTATTGCACTGCAAACGAGATGAGCTTCGGAAGCTGTGGATTGAAGGAATTGAACATAAGCATGTTCTGAACCTGCTGGATGAAATCGAGAATATCAAGCAAGTGCCTCAAAAGCTGGAACAGTGCATGGCCAGCAAGCACTATCTCAGTGCCACCGACATGCTGGTAAGAGCACTGCCTGCACTCCTGGGCGTTTCTGCTAAGATAGAAGAGTGCTTCCTTCTGTTCCCTCTGAATTCTGTCCCTCTCAAAGCACATGACAGACTGCCCTCTGGGCATTCATGATCCCTTGCAGGTGAAGCCTGCCTGGTCCTCCTCCTGGTTTCAGTGTTTGCAATGGGAGGCTATGGTCAGTTACGTTGTCTGCCTTTGGAACAATGGCAAGGAGTCTGATGGTAAGAAACCAGGACCTGTCATGTTGGAATGGTAATGAGAGGTGTTAGTTGGAGTGTCAGAGGAAGATAGTTCAGTTCAGTCGCTCAGTCGTGTTTGACTCTTTGCGACCCCATGAATCGCAGCACGCCAGGCCTCCCTGTCCATCACCAACTCCCAGAGTCTACTCAGACTCATGTCCATTGAGTCGGTGATGCCATAATGAATCCCATTTTGAAGAATGAAATCTGCATGAGAGAGAACTTTCGGAGGTTTCTGAACTATAGGTTGCACAAATTCTGTGAAAGAATGTTTACATTAGGGTTTTGTTTTGTTTTGTTTAAGTTAATAAGAAAATAATTTTCAGGGGAATAATTCTGGAAGTAACTTTGTCCAGCAGCAGTATGCCATAGACTAGCCTTTATCCTGTGTCTTCGTCCTTTCTGCTACTTTCTGAATTAGAAGTGAAAATTCAAGAGATCGTTGCAGCTGGTGGTACACATGGCTGAGAGTCAATAATGAATAAAAAATAAAAAAAATACAAATCTTGCTTCCTAAAAACCTTAACCTTCCAGAGCCTGTGGCTCTGAATGGGGGCTGCTCATTCTGCCTCCTCCTCCTACACCAACTCCCTGTTTCCTTCTCACAGTTGTCTGGGGATGAAGGAAACTCTCAGAAGCAGATGGACTGTATTTGGATTTTCTTTTCCACGATAGGTGAAAGTCCCTTATCTTTGTTTCAGCAAATTAGATTGCCTGTAACTCTGGAAGGAAAAAAACCAAGACACTGAGGGGAATTAATGGGAGCAAAACAGGTTAAATCCTCTAAGTGGTTCTAATTCATTCTGACTTTCAAGAAGAATTTTGCTTGAAGTCTGTCATAGGAAGGTTTAAAGGAAACTTGATAACCAAGAGATGAGATGTGCCATGATATTCTCTCATATATTAAAACCTGGTTATGTGATAGTGAATTTCCACAGTGGAAGGAGGTTAATAATGGTCTTTTCTTCAGAGTGGCAAAATAATTGGTTATTTTCAGTATCTTTATAGTGTCGTCTTCCTTAATAATGACTATATGGTGTCCAATAAAAAATTTACTTACCTCTCAGCTTTACTGTTGGTTTATATGTTAGGACGGCATGCAGACTCAGTCACTTCAGTCATGTTCGACACTTTACAACCCCATGGACTGTAGCCCACCAGGCTACTCTGTCCGTGGGATTCTCCAGACAAGGGTACTGGAGTGGGTTGCCATGTCCTCTTCCAGGGGAATCTTCCTGATAGAGGGATCGAACCCATGTCTCCTGCCTCTCCTGCGTTGGCAGGTGGATTCTTTATCCACTGAGCCACCTGGGAAACTCAGGAAGGCATATATGTACTGAATATTCAAGACTTAGCAGTCAGAATAGATAAGCTTATATATATACACATATATATATTTGTGTAGCATATATACATCTATTTGAACTGTGATTTTTTGTACTGGGCCTGTTTTTAAGTTAGTGCCATATATTAAAAATAGGTTGTTAATGTTTATTTTGGTGTTATGTTCGTTTTAGGATTTCAGATTTTAGGACTAGCCTTTATTCCTCAAGGGCTAATTTATTTAAGAGCTAATTAATGATACCATATATATTTTTTTGAACTTACTTATTTAAGGACCTCATTAAATATTTCTGTAACTTCTTAGTTGTAAGTTGCAGAAATTCAGCTCTAGCTAGCTTAGGTAAGAGAATTGCTTTACCCATGTAGCCAGTCTGCTAAAAGAATGGGCATCTATGTGGAAGGCCATCTCTATGGTCTTCATGCATTAAAAAATTTTTTTTTCTATAGACTTTTTTCCACATGTGGACAGAGTTTTGGTGTTTGGGGAAAAAAAGGGTTGTAAGCTATTATCTTACATCTTTCCAGCTTTGTAGAGGAAAATAATCTTTTAATTCAGAAATATGGGCTTAGGATTAATTAGTCAGCTTGGGTACTATGATTATCAATTCTAAGTAAAACTATGTGATTGAGGGACATGGGAGGCCTGGGGAGTTGGTTGAGAAGAAAGGGCAGTCACCTCTAAAAAAGAGTGAGGGTGAGAGGTACATTTCTCAGAAGTTCCTCTTTTTTTCTGTTTGTAGTTCTTTATGTACTCTGGATACTAATTTTTTGTTAGATGGATTGTAAATATCTTTTCCTGGTTGGTAGTATCTTTTTGTTTATGGTATCTTTTATTAAACAGTTTTAAAATTTAATTCAACAATGTTTTCCAGTCTTTTTTGCCTTTATGTGACTTCTTTTGAGAAATTTATTTTTTTTTATCCCACTGTCACAAAGATAATTTCTTATACCATTGTCTTTAATCCACTTAAAATGTATATGGCATGAACTAGAGATCTGATTTTACCTTCTGTATAGCTGCTTGGCTCAAGCCATTTATTGAATTCATTTCCTACTGATTTATAATTCCACCTTGGTCACATACCAAGTTTGTATATGTGCATGGGTCTGCTTCTGAGCTCTTTATTTTGTTTAGTTGGTCTTGTCTGTATCTGCACCAAAACCATGCTGTTTTAATTACTCTAATTTTATAATATATCTTGATCGCAGGTGAAGACATTCCCTCACTTTGCTATTCAGAACTATGTTATTCTTGACACATTTTATTTTTTAATTTTACTCTTTACATATTTATTGTTTATCTTCACACATTTATTATTTTACTCTTCCATATGGATTTTAGTATCAGCTCATCAGGTTTCATGAAAAGCATGAGAGGAACTTTTAAAAAAAATTCTTGGCCATGCTCTGCAACATTTGGGATTGTAGTTCACTAACCAGGGATGGAACCCCATGTCCCTTGCATAGAAAGTGTGGAAACTTAGCCACTGGACTGCTGGAGAAGTCCCAACATGATGAAATTTTGATTAAATTTAGGAGAATGTCATCTTTGTAATAGTGTCTTTCAGTGAACAAGCTCTCTCTCATTTATTGAAGTTTTAATCTGTGTCCTTTATAATAATAATGCTTAGTACTGTACTCCTTTAGTGGCATTACATGTATTTGTTCATTGTACTTCTTACTGTCAGCTTCTGGCTGGTTTTTAAAGCAGTGGCTCTTAATTATAATTTCTAGTTATTTGTTAATGATGTACATGGATGGGATAGATTTCTTTTTTTATGAATCATACATTTCTTTAAACCTAATCCTTATCCTTCCTACTTGGAAAATGATTTATCCTTTAAGATGTGGCTCAAATTTCATCGAGTTTCTGAATGCCCTAGGTAATTAGATAATTACCTTGTTTTTTAAAAAAATTATTATATATTCATTGTAGTATTAATGCTTAACATAAGTATATTTATTTCCATAAGCTGCATGTATTTCATAGGAATATAATTGCTTTTGTTTGTATGGTAGGTCATTAGGGGCAGGGGCTATGTCTTACCTATTTTTGTCTACCCTGTACTTAGCATAATGCACTTCACATAGTCAAGTTCAGTGATGATTAGCCAAATGGGTAGCTCTGTGGAAGACTTTCATACCAATAAATAGAAAAGGGCACTTCCTTTCTATGAGCTCGGGTCTGATTGTGGCTTTTTTTATGTTTTCTTTTTGTTTTCTTAATGGCAAAGTTCTCTTGTTCTAACCATTCCTTTCTACAATGTTGAAATGAACAACAAAAGTATAATTATAATAATAACTAATATGTATTGAGCCCTCACTATGTGCTGGTACCATTTTAAACATGTTACCCTTGTTAACACTGAATTCTTACAATACTCTTATGAGAGAGAGGTTTCTGATATCCTCTCCATTTTCCAGATGAGGTAGTTGCTTTGCATGACCTGGGGGGTTAGCATTTCCTAACATACAATGAAGATTTCCTGGAGGTGGGATTTAAGATGTGCTCAAAAAGTTGGAAATATTCTTCAATTTGCCTTTTGTATGTGAATAAATAGTAAGATCTATAATTGCTTTTTTATTGGACTTTATATGAGAAAATAATCACATTGCTTTTCCCTGTGGTTATGTGCTCTTAGAAGTAAAATCTACTTAAGGCATCTCAAGAGTCCAAATGAAAATCTGTGCTAAAAGACATCAGAAGGAAGTGAAGGCAGAACAGTCTAGTCTTTCAAACCCCTCTGATTTCCTTGGATCTTTTTATCAAAAGATTTTGCATTTCCATTTTGAGGCAGGTGCAGATGCCCATTAATTTAATCCCTACTCAGGTTAATAAATCCAGAGTAAATAAATCAGTGGTGACCCATAGCTCGTGTCAGCTCCTGCAATTCTTGCTTCACCATCAGAGTGGGCTGATGGCTACAGACTCGGCTTCTAGATGGGATATTTATTTCTTTTGATATGATAACCTGAGAATTGCATAAAATAATTTAATTGTCATGACAGGGGATGTCTGCAAATAGGCCTGGCCTTTTGTTTCCTCTTTCAAGGTAAACAGCTGCTGTTAGCTTATGAAAAGCTAAAAGTGATCCAGCAAGAAGCCTGTATCCGTCATGTGGAAATCAGAGACTTGATTAATATTGTAGCCTGTAGCTTTGTGATATGTACGGTTTAAATTAGACTTCTGCAGTCATTGTGCCGGGTTGATGCAAGCACATTAATGACATAATTTCTGGTTGCTGCATCACATTTCTGCAGTCTGTCCTTTGTATTCCACTCACATTAATTGAAGTAATTTTGCCAGTGAAGCGTGTTTCAAACCTCTGCATTTAAATTGAAATTTTAATTCCCTTATTGTCTTGAAAAGACGGCTGAAGATGCCTTGTTACAGGTTTCATTATCACT